GTCAGGAAAATAAACCTCTTGTTCCAGTGATCGTTTCTTCTTCTTCCGAAGAAAATTTTTATTTGTCTGGCTTTTCGGACTCCACAAAATACCAAATCTTCTGTGCGTCCGCTATCGTTGTCTCTTTGTGTCTTTGATGATGGGCTTTAGTGAAAATCCGAAATATCCGGCGAATAAAAGTCACTGTTTTACAATCGCAGCCACTTTCTCTCAATTGCTTCCAGTAATCGCAGTTTTGCCTGCAGCCGCATACACGCACAAAGCGCAGATATTCAATGACTGTATTTTCTGTTGTTGGCAACAATTAATTTCCTGGTGTGGGTTGTGTGGTAGGTCGACCATCGCAAGCGATGATGTCCACCATATGCCCGAGAGCAGGGACGGTGACTACAGTCAGATATAGTGAAAGTAGACGCGCCACCATGTACCCCAATCTAAACCCTCTCCACCGCTTCATACGGTGACAAGACAAAGTCGAGGTGACCGAGCAAGACTCTGGCGTAAGCCGGTTTCTTCAGATGCAGCCAGAATCATGGTCTATATTAATTTAATCTTAAGTGACAGTAGCCTTTTGCGCAGATACTGCTGCCCTATTTACCCTCACTCACCCATAATAGGTGCCCAGAAAGATTCGAGGTGCCCGAGTCTTGGATTTCTACTACTGCTAATACGGCTTATTCTACTGCTTCTAGCAGTGTATCTAGGTGATTGTAATGCTGGTATTTTTACTGAAGCTAATATTAAGTCTGAAATGACACTAACTGGAGTCAGGTCTGGGGCCGCGTTCCCTTTATCCCCTACAATAGTGTGGACCTGGATTTTTGCTATTCCCAGTAGAGTAGGTGTTCGGAGCTCGGGGCACATCAGTGCTTGTCCTTGTTGTCTTCTTAAGTTTACATCGCTAGGGCTGGGATGCTGCTGTAAGAAGTGCTGTGCCTATGCTAGAAGTGCCAGTTATAGTAATTATATTTGCTAAAGCCAGTCACTGGCAAGCTACAGTGCGGCCTGTAGTAGTCGTGCTTACGAAGGCCAGTAGTAGTATATAATAGTACGACCTGTGTGTGCTCTTTAAGAATTCGACACCCAGTGTGCACCCCTAATCTGTATGAGGTAAAGTGATTTGCTTATGAGTTAAAATAACGAATTTTTAAATAATAGCACAAGTCCTACCATGCTTTTATGTCATAACGTTTGCCGTCTGTAGACTACCTATAAGCTTATTACAGTATTTAGCTCTAACTAGGATTCTACAAAACGTCTACGCATATGCCCTTGATCCCAGCGGGGAGTGTGAATCTGATTTATGCTTTTCCAAGTAACAAGATGTTTGAGGCGCGGAGCACATCAGAGCTCTCCTTTCTTTCTGCCCTCTCAACTCTGTCCACCAGGCTGTGTCGTCTTACTGGTTGACGAAATGTTATTTAGCCGTAGCTCACGTTTGATTATGCCTTTATGTCGCATGGTGCCATTTGTCGTAAAAGGATAACCTTTTGCAGTATCTAACTGCATCTTGAGGTTTAGGGGGAGGTCTCCCGTCTAATAAGGGAGCAATCTGCTCCATAATCAACTTATATTGCTATATCCTATAACTGTGTGAGTAGGTGAGTAATAGGTAATAGGCATAACAGATGGGAATATGGATAGGCCACGGTATTTCAAATCCTTACATTAAAAGTTATGTTAAAACCGTAAAGTACCCATTGTTCAAGTATAAAATTTGAGGAATACATTATCTGCTAACAAATGATTACAATAAAGGATACAGTTCGGTTAAGGTTTTCTATGGAATAATTTTAATTTATCAAGGCACCCGTAATCAATAACAAAAATGCATAATAATTAAGAAGTCTTGTTTTATGTAATGTATTTTTTTAAGTGGTCGGAAGAAGCTCATTCAGAAGACGCATCCTGTTCTATCTGTCAGTACCACATTAGAAGTTAAATTCTAATCCTACTTAAGTACTTGAATCGAAAACACATTTCAGAATTTGGATTCACATTTTTTGAAATATCACTACTATTTTAGATATAAGTATGTTGCTAGTCTACTGAACAGTCACTAAGGGATTAAACAAAAATAGTTTTGCAGAGGGCAGATATAGCTGAGTGGAAAATAGATGAAATGCTTGTGAAGCACCA